ATATAGCAAATGTAAAATTTCACGGCTATGGAACGTTCCGCGCCCCCTTGTACAAACTCAACAATATTAACCTCACTATAAGCGCCTGCTTTAGTTATGTATTCACACTAAATTTCGAAGTCATGTGACCTATCGTTCCTTAGTTATAGCTGATTAAAATTTGACGCCTGTGGGATGTTCCAGTGGACTCGAAATAGAGGCTGTACATTAGTGATTTCATCATAAACACGGTGCGCTTGAATAAGTCTCCACATCCAATTTTTCTCCAAATTCCCATTCTGTCATCATAACCAAATGATTTGAGCTAAAAATAAAAATCTTCTATGAAAGAATTCGAAAGATATCTCGATTATCCTTAATTTTTCGTATGATAACTTTTCTAGCTAATTAAAAAAAAAATCCTCCAAAAAAATTTTTGGACGAAAAATCTTCGCCTATCCATCGCAAATAATATTTATTTCACTTTACTGCAAAAATAATTTGCTTGATCTTTAAAATTTGCAAAAAACAGCGAAAACCCGTGTTTTTTTATTTTATAAGTTTTTGCGATCAGTCACGATACTTGTTACTCTGACTGTAGTGGTTATAATACTCGTTTTAAAGCTGTGAAACCCCCGTAAAGTGGTATGCAAACCGTTTTTGTATCTTGTGTATGTCAGAAGATATGGCAGTTAGAACTTAAAAAAAAATTAGAAACCAAAATGTTTTTAAAGTCATATTTGCTCAATAACTTTTTTGGTTTGCAAAAAAATCGCAAAAAGTATGTGAATATTTTTTGTAAAAAACTTAATTTCCAATTAATTAATTAATTAATTTGAAGAACAATTGGATTGGGAAAGCCTTTTGCGTTAAATCCTGTCCAAGCGCACCGTGCAAATATTTTGCCTAGTATTTCTTTGGGAGAGGCCAGAGTAGAAAGTTCAATTAGTTTTGAATGACTAGTTTAAGGAGAAAGATTATCTCGTCACAGGGAGGAGGTGTGAGAGATATCTAGAATACATATTCCATGTGAAGGATCGGTCTACATCGCATTGAACATAGAAGTAGGGCACAAGAAGCCGGGAGGGAATGCACTTAGATCCTTTTAGGAATCATTCGGATGGTTATTGCTTGGTGTCATGACACAAAAAAGAAGGTAGTTTCAATAAACAACTTTTTGCTTAAAAATGAGATTTTTGACAATTGTAAAAAATTCGAAGCGGCGTTACCCAATTTAAGTTTTTTAGTGGATGGGGATTTTATATCCTAAATTTGGGAGTATAAATAAAATAGTTGTATTAACATTTACCTTTTAAAAATAATTAATATCTTATCTTAAAAATGTAAAAATTTTACCTTAAATTCGATAACTACTTGCCAAAATCTTTATTTTTATATTAATACAATTTTTGGTGAAGATATTTAAAATTTTTTTTAGTGCCATTGTGCCATCTGATTATTACACAATGTAGCTAGCCAGGACTATTACAGTTTTCTATATCGGATACGATTGTTTCTGATGTAATTGAGACACTGAAATTACACATTTCGATATTGTCTTTGTCCATGTCTTTCAAGTAACTTGAAAACGGAATTTACTTTGGGATCCATAGGCGTCATGACTTTCAGAGAAGTGAGTATTATCCAATTCTAGTATGTTCGTCGACAACATCGTTGTTTCTTAGGGTAAAAATAAGTACATTTTACTGTTCAATATTAGAGGGGGTGTGAAACAAAATTGATGATTTATTGTTAGCATGAAAACTAGAAACACAATTATCAACTTTTTGAGCATTATACTTATTTCAAAAACAAAAGGGGAAATATTCGTTTATTTGTGCAATGGCTTTGGTTTTTGTACAAATAACCGAGCCGTACTCAACAAAATATGTACCTTTTGCTTGTTCAAATTTCGATTATATGAGCAAAATGTTTGTAAATAAACCAGAAATGAATAACAAAATTTGAAGGATTTTAGATATTGGATACGGTAGCACGCAATGTCACAATCTACTTAATTGTCAGGTTGTTAATATGGCGACGAAAAAGTGGCCCTTTTGCATCATGGCTTGGTGTGATTTCCCATACTTTACTTTTCATCATTTGAAGTATACATATTTATGAGTTTTCTCGGGTCTGGCAGTCATTAAAAAAATGAAAATTGCACCCAATATTAGGTTTGTTCCACAAGCTACTTGTAGAAAAACTCGAGCAAAGTTCAAACTGTCAGCGTATATCAAATTAACTCGAAAACTTAATGGCGGAACGCGTATGTGTAACTCGAAGCGACTTCGATTAGCTTGGGGAACAAACCTATTATAAGCTTCTTCCTTGCACTTTTGTATCAATTTTGACTTGTTTTTGAAATAAGTAGCATAGTGTAGTAAGTACCCTTTTTAATAAACCACCTTTTTTACTTTTCATACCCTCATACAATCCATTCAAGTAATCATAATTCATATTTTTTTTTTTTGATTTTACTTATAGTTGGAGCTTGGCTATCGGGACGACTACAATCGCAACAACAAGATCTATATCCAGTGGCGATTTGAGGCAAAATCAAAGCCACAACTCGAAAGTGGCACAAACAATAAATCACAAACATTAATAAAACTGATGCAGAAACAATTGGAAAGCCTAATCGGTCATATTTGACAAAAAGAATATCAATTACACGAGTAAACACGCTGTCAGGTGTCCTGCCTGCCGCATCGATAAGCGGTCCCCTAATAAAAAGCGCTGGTCGTGAGGGAATTGCCTGTGAAACGTTTGTGTGGTTGTGTTTCGCTGTGTTACGCTGGTCGCAACATTCTACATTGAATTATTACCACGGCTGTCACAACTGTTTCTTTAAAAGCACAACGAAACTCACGAACACACCCGACAATAAAAGAAAAAAATACGATAATGTTAGAATGGTAGAGGGAGGCAAACAAAACTCAACAAAAAAAAAACGGTTAGCGTAAGCAAGTCGAAAATAAAGTGCAAGTTCTGAACCTCAGTAAGGATTCAATTAAAGTTGTGTATTTAAGTGAGAGCATAGCTCTGTTGGTATTACTGTCGAAGGTAAGCCCCAAACATCTTTCATCCGTCGCTCAGCGAAAAGAAAGAAAGCTGGTACATACATATTACGTATGCATGTATGCATGCATGTACGTGCGTTAGTGTTCGAATAACAAAAAACAAATAAATTCTACATGCAAGTATTTAGTAAGTGAAACAGTTACAAGACAGTTTTCTTAAAAAAGTGCACCTTGCCATGAAAGACAATTATTAACAAATAACGGTAAATAATTACCACTAAAATAACGTTTTGCCCACGGGAATAGTGAAACGGCGCTCAAGGGAGATCGCCGACATTGGTCATGTAACTGGGTGACCAGGTATACGAATAAAACGAGGGCAACAAAAAGTTTCCAAAGAAGTCGAATTGTTTAGAATCGATTTTATATTGAGTTGCTGTTGTGTGTTCGAAGATATATATATATATATATATACATATATAAAAGGAATATAGCCTGCTCACAGAAATCGTGAAAATCTGAAACAAAATGGCAATGGAATGGATAACAGCGATGGACAAGCGGTAAGTTCGATATTCTTTTTTTTCTCCTAAATCTTTTGTTGCTGCAAGTGCCGCGTATACATATATAGCTTAAGTGTACGGTTTTAAGAAAATTTTGCGAAGGGATTACAAAAGTAATCCCAGGTTGCGGATATAGAAGGACTATTTTCATCACACTGTAAGCCTAAAGCTGATGCCACATAAAACTTTTGCTTCGCTTTACGTGACAGATTCGCTTTGACAGATTCGCTTTGACAGATAAGATGAGTTGTATGAAAATGCACAAAGCATGCCACATAGATCGTTGAAGCTGCAGCGCGAAGCGAAAAGATGGGCCAACTCCCATCTTTTTGCGCGCTTTGACAATCAGCCGGTTTAATATTTATTTTTTGTTTCGTCCAAATTCGAGTTTTCATGCAGAAACATAAAACTTAATTACATTGTTAATAATTTTAAAGCAAAATATATAAAATGCACAGCATTTTTGACGAGTAAAAAAGCAGTACAAAATTGCTTTTTTGGCGTTCATTGTGGCATACCTTTTGCGTCTGGCGCTTTGCTGGGAAAGTTATAAATGTCACGCAAAGCTACAAAGTTTTATCTGGCATCTCAGCTTAAGTGTCGTTTTGTGTGACTGTTGTGAATGTAGCTCGATTGGTTGCATTTCTAATGCTGACTACACACAAGGCAACCGTTGAAGTCAGCTGGCTCGATCTATTTTACCAGAATACTGCCATGCAAATGAAATGTTGTTGTAGTACTTAGGATACATATCTTCCCTTAAAGAATCCCATTTGTTTGCCTTAAATGGGCTAATTAAAACGTATTTATGCAGCTTGCTTACTGACACCGGGGCGTATGACGAACGCAAGAAGAAGGAATAACTTTTGCCTTAAACTGTAAAATAAAACTGTAAGGTTTGAGACAACTCTGGCACACATACATACGTACATATATATTGAATGCCTGCGTCAAAGCATACTTTACCGATTATGATTGCGTCTAAACGTTAAGAATCTAAACACATCGTTTCAAAACGTTTTCCTTTTAATTTCCGACCATTCTGCGTCGGTGCTAATGTAATGTTGTTGATTTTGGGGTTGTAATGGTTGTAATTGCTGTTGTTGGTTATTGGGTTTCTGTCGCATGGAACACAAATTATAAACAACATTCACGCCACCAATGTTGAACGTTTCAGTGTGTTGCCAAAATATTTCCACACCTAATTTGAAATAATAATTTAATTTGCATTCTTCATTAACAGTTTTTAAATATTTATCTAGGTAATCAAGAGGATAATATTCGAAAAGATAAGATAATTAATGATGATCTCGTTTCTTCCAAAAAAAAATGTTGTCCCTCCCCGGTGCAAAATGTAACCCTGTAAAAAGGCATGTTTTTGCCTTCTTGTCCTTGTCTAGCTCACTTATTTCTTAATGTTATCGTTTTAAGCAACCATCTGATTTTCAGGGCAACCATCTGATTTTCAGGGCTGAAGCTGAGAAAGCTTCAAAGGGAAAAGGATGTGCCCGTTTTGCCTTAAAAGAGTGTGGCATTTTAAGAAACACACACAAAATTTTCCAATGTTGGCCTCTATTTTAGAATCGAACACGAAAAGAGAACAGAGCAATCAAAAGGAATGATTCAAGCCGGAGCCCTACATACATACATACATGGTACTTACATACGTAAATGTGGCATGTAAAATATATAAACATTTCTTATGTCAACTACAACTTTGTGATAAGTGGTCGTTTACGGTTTTTATAGAAACTCGTCGGTAAGCTTGTGTCACATGTGCTGTTCTTGACAGAATGTAATAAATAGTTCACTCATTAAAACATACATTTATCTGATAATTGGCTAACAATTTCATTTCTAACGACATCACCGATATACATATGTACATATGTATGTGTGTACGCAAAAATTGCCATGAGTCATTATGTCCAACAGCGAAAAATAATTTTATTAATGGCAACAATAAATTTTTTATATACAATTAAGGCGAGAAAATGCTTGTATCCTTAATTTGGGCCATATTACATATAAATTTATATACACTAGACCGGATCGGAAGCTATCCGTTTTTTTATTTTAGAGCTTGCGTCAGGGAGAATTTGTCTTTATAAAAAATTCCGCCTAAGCGCAAGGCGTTTAAGTGTGATACTTTGTTGAAAAATTTACTTTAACAGATATATCTATTTGCGATTGTGAAAAAGCTATAAGCTATTATTTGAAAAAACGGTAAATTTAACGTTGACTAAAATTTTATTTTGCCAGCTAGAAACTCATAAAATTGACTTTACTGGTCGAAGTAAAGATATCGAGAGATAATTTTCATCAATATAATATTCGAGCAAAATATGGTACTCAAAAACACCTTTTCAACGATATGGGACACAAATAAAAAGTTATGAAAAAAAACTGGGTGATGAAAAATTCTCATGAAGTAGGCTTTCAAATAGAGATGGGCACGGGACTAATTATTTAATCCCGATCCCACCCATTCCGAAATGCGATTTTTAAGTCCCGAACTTGCCCATCTCGACGTTTTTCAGAATTTTAACGCGTGTCCCTTGGGTCCCGATATCTACTTATCTCTAAAGCAGGCTACCAACGGAAAACGGTCGGTTGAGATTTCAACGTGTGTGGCGTGGTTTGCAAACCGATCGGAGGTTGACAAAAATGTTTATGTCTTTCAAATTAATTTTAAATAATAAAAATAATAATGAAAGATCTGGCAACTTCCGATTATTTTGTTTTGCTTTGCTGTTCGTTTTCATCTCAATAAAACATTAAAAGTGCATATTTCGAACATCGTTTTTAAGGAAGATTCTGTGAATTTGCGGGGTTTGCGGTTTTATCGGGAGTGTCGGGAAAGGATTTTGGTCCCGTCCAGCCCGCCATATTTTTACAGATCTTCCCGATAACTAATCAAATTAAATATCAACAAGATCACTCCATCATCACCATCTTCAGATTTGGTATAATTTTTGGTGAAAATTTTTTGTTCTTTGCAGCAATTTGGCGAAGTATGTAGTTCTGGACTTGTTATGAAAATATCGTATAACCCCTCCAACGAATATTTCCTCCCATTTCGGAGCATTCTCAAGGATTGCCCATTCAAATATCTTAAGTTGCTTTAACGGCTGAGTCCACGAATTTATACATGTAAAAGCAGAGTCTTACTTTAAGTTTAACTGGGGAAAAATGGGAAAATGGCATAAAAAGAAATTTCTTTACAACTCCTTACAGGTGGGAGAAATCAACTCACATTCACTGTCAGACTCGATGAGAAGTTATAGCAGCTATTTCGGAGATCACCACATCTCCTCATCAGATGTGTTGATATCCTTCATATTATTTCGCTTAAAATAAAATTAATAGAATTAAAGAAAATATATTTTGATGCTTATTAATTATTTGTAATTGTTTGTACTTGCAGTCCTTGTGATCGTAATTTAAGAGATGCTGAACTGATTTCCTGTCGTTTGAGACGTGTGGAGCCATTATGTCGTTTGCCCGGTTCGGCATTACAGCAGTTGGCCATGTGCGGCTTTTATGAAGATTTGGAGAAAGGTGTGACATGTAAGTTGAAATACACAAATATTTGTATCGTTAAATATAGATTTTGACATATGTACATACAAACATACATACATACATAAATATATGTATGAGAAAACAAGGCTCGTTGAGAGGGTAAATTTTAAAGTCTTAACTTTGAAGTACTTTTTCTTGTAGTAGTAGTAGTTCGAACAGAAAATCGAGTTTTGGAGTTCTTCTGAATAATGAATCCTAGAAAAAATCAATAGATTCTAGTTTAAGTGAAAAATGCTTTTTTTCATTTCTATCGGTTTTCATATAAGTTCAAATTAAAACAAGTAAAGAAGATTAAGTTCGGGCGACACTGAATTTTATATACCCGGCGCAGTTATCATATATCGTCCATTCAACTTTCTCTACGCTGCTGCTGAGTTAGACTTAATGTAATAATTGAACCAAGTTTGGTAGAAATCGATAAAGCGGTTATGTTTTATATATTATTAAGAGGTTGTTGTAACTATTAAGCCTAAAATACAATAACGCAGTGGCAGCTGGCAGTTTTTCGAAATCAGCTGTTTTTTTAGAAAGTGTGGTGTCCAATGAAGCGACTCACAATACAGCAGTGGCAGCTCGCAGTATTGCTCAGTTTAGCCCAAATTCTAAATTCACTACCACTGCCTCCATCGCAGCAAACTTCGCATGTTGAATTTGACATAAATGAAATGCAGCCAACTTTCAATATTAGCGATAACAGCTGATTTTAGAAACTGTCACTGCCATTGCCACTGAGTTATTGTATTTTGGGCTTTTACCTGGAGTAAGCGTCCTCAGTTATTGAAATATCGGTGTTTCGGTATTTCTTAAATTTACCGTTATACGGGAAGCGGTTGTGATTTTAGTTCGCTTTGAATAATTTTCAACGAATTGCCTATGGAAAATACCAATATGGAAATGCCAAGGTTGTTAAGTGCACCGAGTTTGGTAGAAAAATGGTAAATCGGTCTTGTGGTCCTACATAAGTGGGCGGCGCCACGCCCATTATCGAAAAATGTATAATAATATAATTTTCGGCTAAGTGGTTATTGCAATCATCGATTTTAAGTGAATTCGCTTCAGTAGTTACTGATTTATCGCAGTTTTCGTGTTTTTCCGTAAATTACCGTTAAATTGGAGGTGGGCGTGATTATTGCCCGATTTCAAAGATTTTCAACGGATTTCTTAGCAGGGCCCTAAGCAAAGCTCGTACCTATTTTGGTATGGATTGGTGAAGCTTACACTTATGGCGTTTTCGTTTCTACAAAAAATGTTGCCTTCTCATTGCCCTTTTCTTAGTATTTGTTCGTAGAGGGCAAAGGGAATGTAACCTTTTTTGGTAGAAACGAAAACGCCATTACATTGCTTTCGTGAAACTGGCTATTAATTACTCATTGTAAAATTATATTTCATTAGTCATTACAAAATCAGTATTGCCAGAAAAATGTTGTAGAAAATGTGTCAAGTGATGATAAAATATTAAAAAAAAAATAATAATAATACAAAATTAATAGGATAAAGGGAAAAAGGGTAGGACCTCTTTGGACATTCAACTCTCAGTTAAAATAAATGGTTGGTAGATTTTAAAAGTCACCCATGGTTGATACACAATTTTAGGTCAATACGAGATAGGAAGAAAACAATCTGGTTCTGAACACTGTACTTTATTAAATACTGTAACTAATTTATTTATATAGTAAGTAGATTAGGTATCATCCATCTATCAGTTTTTAGACATTTTTGCCATTTAGTCGAAATATTTTGTCTTGAAAAGCAAGTTGAAATTACTTTTTATTTGCAGTATTTCGAGCTGGCGAGCAAGGTCGCTTTTGGTATGCCGTTCTAGGAGGCTCGCTTGAAGTTCGCTATCACGCTCCAGATACTGACGGAAAGGTAAGCAACTTTATTAAAAAAAATAATTAAGCAATGTAAGTTGAACTTTTGACGAATGTCACATAATACATGCAGAAGTGGGTCATTCCATGTAAAAGAGAAAAACGACATAATTTAAAATGCGCCAATTATCACTATTTCAGCAGTAACCTCCTTTTAAATGACTTCTTCTTCTCTTCTTTATTGGGCTACGCGACGAATGGTGGTTGTGGCCAGATTAGATCTATTTCTGTTTTTCCAGCGTCAGATAAGGTTCTTCCTCTTCTTTTATTGCCCATAAATCCTCTTCTTTTAATGCCCTTACTAGAGTAGCAGGCGCTAAATATTCTAATCTAAAGTACATACTCAGGTATTTTAGACATGCGAAATACTTCCAATAAAGAATTACATAATGTACTTAGTGGATGGCCAAATACTATTAAATACCTCCCCAGTCGGAAAAGTAGCAATGCATTACATGAGTGATAAATAATATAATGTATTTCTTATGCGTTCTCGATAATATTACTGCTAACTATATAATCAGCGTTCTAATGTATTCAAAAATTTCATATTAAAACACATTCATTTCTCGATACTATGTAATGGAAAATTGAATGCCACACTTTTCTTAAGACATCGCCCTGGGGCGGAAAATGCATTTTCGAATGTGAAAAGGGTTGTTTTACTGATTATTTTTTCAACAGCCCTAAGGTGCGATTATTCGATTACTCGATCAAGTTGGTTAATCAGCTATTCGGTTAATCAATTACTCGAGTAATCAAAATTGTGATTACCCAAAACGATGATTAATCGAGTTACTTGAAATATAATTACTCAAAAAAATTAATTTTGCTCGTTAAAAGAGTTTGCTTTGGAAAAGGTTTTAATTTTTGAAAGCAGAAACGTTGTTTTCAAAGTATCAAGGAACTTCAACTACTTTATATGTAAAGAGTACTTTCAAATGCTGATTACTCATTTTACTCATAATGTTGATTAATCATAAAGCAAATTTCTCAAATATTTTTGTTTTTGGTTAATCAAAATCTTGATTACTCGAGTAACTGAACTTCTGAGTAGTCATAATTTCCAATTAATCGAATAATTCAGTTATTTACTTTATGATTAATTAAAATTATGAATAATCAATTAATCGCACAGCCCTAATTACTATACATTACATTTGTCCACTGGGTTACTATACCTTACTCGTCTCAGGTCACCTCACTTCAACTCATTTCACTTTAAATCACCACAACTCACATCTACTGACCTTACCTCAACTCAACTCACTTGAACTCACCTCAGCTCAGCTAATTTTATATCCGAAACTCACGAAATAGTCCCGAGGATCCCGAAAATCCCAAAATTCCTGATATAGGCCCAAATGCCCCGAAATAATCCGGAGAAGTTCGACAATCCTGAAATAATCACGAAAATCACGAACTAGCCCCGAAAATTCCGAAGTAGTCCCAAAGATCCGAAAATTCCGAAGTAGTCCAACGACCCGAAATAGTACCGAACATCTTAAGATTCTTTATTAATACGTTTTTCTTACTAAGTAGCAAGTATTTAATATTTAATCAAGTCATAAATAGCACTTATTAAGTATTTAGTACTTTTGTTTCCAGTATGTAGTAAAGCCAAACTCTCTAAGTACTTTTGTAAGTGGTGTTTCGTTACGTAAATCAAACTAAATACTTGTATACTTAAAACTTAGTATTTAATAAATATAATTTTTGTTCGCTATTGGATTTCTCACAGTAATTAACCGTAACATCTCTCACATAAATCGTTCTCCCAGTGATATATCACAAAAAGTAAAATGTAATAGGTTACTGATAGAAAAAGTTACAATCTGTTTAATGTGGACCAGTTATTTTCGGTCTCTATTTCTAATGTATTTTAGGTCCTCTTCATACGTACCAATTGTTGTTGTACTAAAAAAGAACACAATCTTAATTTACTAATGTAATGTTTTGGCAATTTTTTTGCTGGCAGTGTCCTCCATATAAAAGATAATTGTCGACATACTTTGTATGGAAAAAACGTGAAACACCTTTAACCAAAAAAATTCTCAAAAATCAACGGAATTTTTTAGCCGCTTGAAACTTGCACTTCTTCAGACTAGAATTGAAGGTGCTACAAAACTGCATACCAAAATTTTTTCTAAAGATCTGATTGAAATTTGGGTGAAAAATTGCAAAATTTTTATAATTTTTATACAAAGTTTAAAATCTGATTTATATGGTGTTTGTTGTATAGCCAGCTAGGCTTTTATAAAAAAATAATAAACATTAAATAAACAAAAGACAAATAGCCAAAACTGGTAAAAATATCGCACTCCTATTATTTTGTGGACAACTGTATGTACAAACTTAATATGCACCTTTCACGTTCCTATCGGTGATGTTTTGCAACCTACTTGCATGCAATTATTGTCAACAATATCCGCTTACAAGGCATTAACATGCCTCCTAATTAACTAACGTTTATTTTAAATTAGTTGGAACAAATTCTCCGTGAGTGTTAACGTTTGTTGTCAAATTTAACATTTGTATGTACACACATACATAATTACACATGTATACATGAGACTATATAGATAATATGCATGTATGCACATTAGGGTGGTCCAAAGTTTTTCCCAACAAGCCCCCGGAACTGAAGAATATCGAAAGGGAAGAGAACTGTATGATTATTTTGGAATCGGCAAATATTTAATCGTGCCACCAAGGCTTTGAAGTTTTCCACATATGTACATATATTGTTGGTGCGCAATAAGTCTGTGCAGACTTAACTATTTAGTCTCTTATATTTGTACTATAAAATGCAACCTTGCGGATGTATGTTTCATAGTCGCTGACATGAGCGCTCTTTCTGCCAAATTGTTCGCACTAAAGGCCTGTATGCAGCTCTCAAGAAAACGGTCAAGAAAAATTTGCCATTATTTCGTGTGTGTGTCCAAGGAATTTTGACATTTTTGATACTTCTCAGCCTGTTGCCTCACTCTTTCCTCAAGAAATAATGGAACGGGCATATATTTCTGTTGCAAACCTGGGTTGCCTTGTGCTCTTTTTTCACAAAAAACTTTAGAAAACCGTAGTAGAAAGCGTAGTAAATTTCTTAAGAGCTGCGTACTGCCTTAAGGAAATTTGACTCAAGAAAATTTCTTAGCCATTTCTTGTACGTCATTTTATATGGAGTTTTTGCTTTTCTTGAGAGTTGCATACAGGCGGAAGTACACAACGTCCATTGCGTCACCGACACCGTCGCCGTCATCGTCAGTTGTCAAAAAAGTTGAACTGGTGTATTTGTATGAAGTAAGTTGGGCCTTTGTGAATTAAGGTAACGATGCGATCTTCTTATTTTTCGTGAGCGCTCGTATTAAGTCCTAATTGGTAAAGCTTACCTTTTAATGGTGTTGTTGTCATTTGATGCTGTTGTACATTTTCCATAAGTTTAACTTACCTTGCCATCAATTTCACCTAGGTTCTTTCTGCAACGCGCCTTTTGCCAGTGAAGCCGCTCTCAATGTTAACACTATTTAAAAGTAGGGGTCTTCTCGATCCGTTGCATACTGTCTAGCAATGGTGCATAGATAGCATAAACACACATGAAACAACAACAAAACAAAATTATCCAATCATGCTATTTATGCTATCTATGCACCAACATGAGCACTGCCAATTCTATCATTCGTGCGATGAGTTAGTAATCAATAGTGCCATTTTCAAAAAGAAATTGCACATCTAAATATGTCGTACCAAATGGAGGTGTTCTTGCCAAAGAGGAAGTGTCGAAGTGTGAGTCTCGAAACCATTTATGCGAATTTTTAAAATCCATAAAAAAATTAAACTTTTTATTTTTTACGTATAGCAATCAGAAGCTAGAATAGAATGAAAAAAATAAACAAAAGCGCTTCCTGGTTCTTTTTACTCAAATTTTACATGCATATGACGATTTTACATGCATATGACGATTTTTGAAAACGAAACTGACGATTTCTCACTTCAATGACCTGGCAACACTGCTTGAAAAAGAAGTGAATCGGAGTAAAAACGGCAACACTGTTCTTAATATGTAAAACCTTAGATTTTAGCGCAAATGTATCAAACCATTGAAATCGTTGAATCTTAAGCAAAGTCTACGTACTACGGCTAAAAATACGTGTTTTATTCGCTCACCCGCCAACATACATTGTACATATTTTACATTGGGAAATAAATTTTTGCGTAAAATTTCAATACAATATTAACCGATTTCAAACTAAAAAATACGGATCTCCTTATTTTCGATATTCTTCAGTCCTGGCTATGGCAGCGTAAAAATTCGAAAAAGTTGATTCTCCTGTGTATTTTTGGAACACCCTTATGTACATACATACAGATATGTGCCCATTCACTCAAACTCGTAACAATGAAGACTGTTAATAGCCACTCAATAGCAACAAATATGTACAACCAACAAGCAACAATACTCTATGCAAAGAATCTGAAAGTTGAAAGTTCAGATACGCAATCTAAAAAGCTAAACAATAATAACGATGATGAGTTTAATGATTATGAGTTTTGTTGGTAACTTCTTGTTTGTTTGATAGTTGATTGCTGGTTGCTGGTTGCAGTTGTTGACTTTCTTGTTATGGTGTTGCTTATTTTGTAAATAAAGTTGACTCACCGTCGGCGACGAAAATTAGTACAAAGTGTACAAAAAGAACTTCAAACGACAACAATAAATAACTTCGCTGTAATAAAAAATGTACGGAGGCTTGTTAAGAACTAGGTATTTAGATACGTATCCTACATTTCGGCACTGGTAAGGTAAGCACCTGGCAATAAATGAATGTTTCGCAGCGCTTGGTCGAGCTTTTTCTCCTCCGATTTGTGGCGTGCACCTTGAAGTTTTACACCGCCTCCGAATGGAAAATGGTTTTAAATGAGTTTTTTGCGGCAGAAATCGCATCGGAAGTTTGCCATTGCTTGCCTTTTTGTTTGAACAACGGATCGAACCCTGAATGTACG